TTTTGCGTCGTTACCTTTTCTAACACATCTTTGTAATAAAAGACTAAAGCCATCAATATACTGCGTTCAATAATAGAGAAAAATAGCGCAGACAGTGCGGGTGTTGAGTAAATAAAATGATCGCTCTATTGACGGCATGTTTGTTTCTGCAATCCTTGTGCACGCGCTGAATTGCATCAGCAAAAGCGCGCGCGAAAACTGTGTTCGGCCACCTTAAATCTATTTCTGTGGTAGTTAATCCATTTTTTAACTCCTTAGAGGTGACAATGTATAGCTCTTTCTTGATGAGAAATAACCGACATGGGGCAGCCAAGAAGCCACAGCGAAAAGTTCTGAAAACTCCTTAGCGGTCCCAAACACGTATCATGGACGCCACCCCTGCCCCACCCCGGGTCTGTATGTATAAACAACGTATACACCTCGTTTAAGGTTTTATTTAGCATTCTTTTAATTTCAAAATTGAAGAGTCGCAACCGTTCCTCATTATATCCGGCTGCGAGCAGAGTAACTGGAGGAACATTAACTTTGTCACATTCCTCAAGTTCAATAACACTGATGCACTGCTTATATTTCTATTTACAATATGAAAGCTATCAATCCCAAATATATTCTTAAGGTTTTTCCAAGCAAAATAACATATCAATTTCAAATTTGAACGTTTCCCTAGAAGTGCCAGGACTCCCTGTCCGGCCATGAACGTTAACGAAGAATGTTGTCCTGTATTGGTATTTGAAGCTGAAAGAAAAGAGAACCTTGGGAAAAAAAAACACCCTAGACTTGTTGAGATCGAAAGAAAAAAATGTTTGCAACACTCAAACCTTGATACACAACCGCGAAGGATTTTAATAAGAAAGTCTAAAAAAACTCCGAGTTTTGTTTGGTAGAAATAGACCATTACAATACTTGTGGTGAACGTTAGTAAATTGTTTGGTAAGGAGAAGATCCGATTAAAAGGTTTTCTCTAACAGTTAAGTCTATGATTAATACCGGCTCTGATTTGTGCCAAAATAAAAGCTAGTAAAGCAGAATTGCAAAATCAAATTTAGGTTAAACTTGATCACACTTGAGAGTGAGAGGATAAACCGTCATATAGAGTGGTTTAGCGACTCTACTATTAAGAAAGCGCTCCCTCAGATATAGAGCGGTTTTCTAATTAATTAGACTGTACTGTCGGTTTGTTTCTCGGATGACTGTCTACCCCATCTCCACTAACGTCGATACCAACAGTGTACAGGCTAATTATTTTAGCATAACCGCACCCTCCAAGGACCTTCTATCCATTGACAGTAGGTGCGTGCTTAGCCAATCAGATTGAAAGTTTGCCACATGTCAATCACTGGCTTAAGTTAATCACTGACAAAACCACACCTAGAGAAAACACAAGCCAGTCATGACAGTATCACTAGCATTAAAACAATCGGGAAAACACGCCGAGACTACAAGCTTGAGCCTAATCGCGATAAGGCTGGGTTTACTCCTGATTGGACAAAAATTATATCAAAATGATTCAAAGTTGGATAGAACAAGGTGCGCCAGTTGACACAAACAGAACAAATTTGAATACCACTCTAACCGCAAAGAAACAGCAAAGGCATAAAATTACAAGATGTTCCTATCTAAATAGTTACTTCGCACAAGGAAAGGTACGAAGAGAACATGCAGAAGATAAAACTTTTAGTCAATCTGATAAGTTTGTCTTACCCTCTTCAAATGTTTTTTGTTTTGCTAGCACATAAGCCACCCTCCCCTCCCACCCACCCTTAAAACGATCACATACGAGACCATGACATGGTTCGTTATGTAATCGATCATGAATGTTTAAAGTTGCAATATATTTTCCCTCTTACTAATTAATGACCTACAGAAGCGCTTGATAATATTTCAGGAGGCGCTTGGTCATTTGAGTCTCCCAGGATTAACTTAGTTTTCGAATACAAGTCGACCGAGTTCTTGATTGGACAATAAATAAGGAAAAATTCTTTTCTTCCCCCAACTGTTTTCTTCTTCATATTAGCCCATTATTAAATCTACAATAAGATGTTTGCACTCTGACGTCATTTGATTACTGGCTCACTTAGAAAAGACTGAACCCAAGAGTATGCGCGCGAAGGTTTATGGTTCTGTTTTGGGTCGGGAATGCTTCATCTTTCAACATAACATTTGCCATCTCCCCCGAAATGAGCTTTTCACTTCCTTTTCCTGTATCATTTACAATTCACTGCTATTTAATTGCGCCGCTTAAATAACTATTGGCACGAGAAAACAAAACAAATCTTTAGGGATTCCTAAATGACGTTATAGTGTAAACATCTACGATTGATAATAATAATTGAATGATGGAAACATTTCGTTGCATTTAAGTCCTCACAGTAGCGTCCACATTCTCAGTGTGTTCGTCCTGAGTTTTTTCATCGTTCTTGTGTTCTGTTCTTTGTGTATTTTGTTCACTTTCTATAGAACAGTCGTTTGTAATTTGACTTGACTGAGTTGCTTCAGTACTAGTTTCACTGTCACTGTCAAATGCAGAGTTCTCTGGAGACGTTATCACTTCTGTATCAATACTCTCGCTGTTTATCGTCTCAGCCTGACTTGCTGAGTCAGCTTGATGTTCGTGAGCATGCTCGGTGCTCGGATTAGTGCATGGTCTGCCTGTGGCAGCGCAAAACACTTCATTCTGTCCCACAGACACGACACCTGGATTTACAGGCGTTTCCTCATTTTCAGATGATTTTGTTGAGGCTGTTCTTTTTTCGTTGGTTTGCGGTGATTGTTTATCCTGCAATGCCTCGTTTTGATCAATATCACTGCTGTGAATGGCTTTATTTCCAGATGATGTTTGAACATTTTCAGCGTCAGAGGACGGCTGATTTTCTTCTATGACAGATTGTTGGTTTTCCTGCGATTCTTTTGCAACTGATGGCTCCTCTTCCAGTTGTCCAGCAACTGGAGGTTCTTTCTTAGCTGTGATCAATTAAAAAAACTGATATCGTTAACAATTAGGTCCAAAATTGCAAGAACACAAGACGCACAACACAAATCTCGCATTAACCAAGATATACATGAGTATTCAACACATTTTAACGACAACAACCGTGAGAATAATTTGGAAAGCAAACCAAGTCTCCCCATTCCCCTCTGGCTCAGGTTGCTTCCCCCCAAAACACCAAAGACCTGGCCATAAATTACAATATTTCGAGAGGAAGCTACCTCAGCCTTAGCTGGTTTTCATGGGGTCCTCTATTCTGGTCGAATTGGGATTTGGAGATGTCGGGTTTTTGTGGAGGGAGGAAAACCGAAGAGGCCGGAGAAGCCGGAGGAACACCCTCGGAGCAAGGAGAGAACCAACAACAAACTCAACCCACATATGGTACTGGACCGGAACCGAACCCAGGCCACATTGGTGGGAGGCGAGCGCTCTCAACACAAGGCCAAGCAGCTAATAGCAGAAAAAATAATTTACGCTTGCACATACAAACGCATACGATATCGCGCGCAACTGATTGCAACGAATTCCACTTAAGGACGTTCGCGCGTAAATTTTCCAGTCGATAGATTTTTTTAAAATTTTTCCTGCAGTCAGATAATAAGTTACTTTTGTCAGAAATGCAAAAATATTGGGGGTCACCGACTTCGTTTCAGAGATAAAGCGTGTGGAAAACTACCCTGATTTTGAAAAATTGGCGCACGTAAATCAGCATGGTCTACAGGGGTTTATAGTTAAAAGTATCGAAGGTAAGTCAACGGAGGCGAACGATCTTAGTCATATTTTGTAGAAGTGAGTCTGTTGCGTAAATAATTCCAAATGTTACCAACGTTTTCACAAAACTTAACCCTTCAAGAGGCATTTGAGACCGTCGCAGAGATAAATGAAGAGCTAAAATGAACGGAATTCGATGGTGCATTTTGCAAAAAATTCAAACTTCTAGTCGATAGATTTTTTTCATTTTTTCGCTAAACGTAGAAAATCGGTAGAGAAAATGATTCATCAAAAGAAAAGTAGGGGTCACCGAACGTCCAAGATCGTTAAATCCAGGCAAAGCTATAGCAATGGCCATCTGCCCTATCATTTTTCATTTTATTACTTATCACGCGCTCTYATGCATGACGTGGCGTGTGAATTTGCGTGCGCAGTAAGGATGCGCAGAAACAATTAGCGCGAACGCCCTTAAGGTCATTCCCCAGTATTGCATTGCGCGTCACTACTGCGCATAATTTCTCGCGTGATTAGCGCGCGCGCATTACAAAAATGGCGGCTTTTTCTTTATGGCTGGACCTCGCCATAGAGGTAAATCGTCATTTTCTCGCAAACGAGTATGGTCACCTATCATTTTTTCCTGTTGTTTTGAATTGAGTAATAAATTTCTCTGTGTAAAATAAATATGGACCGGAAACGTGAATTTAGCAAGCAATCGTGACTACTATCATGGTGCTATTATAAGGATTTATATGGGTATAAACAAGGTGCTGTTACTCCTAAACGGACATGGGGACCCCTCATTTTTATTTAAAAATTTAAGTTCCTCTAATATAAACAATCAATAGGCAAAGTTTCACAAAAATCTCAGTGCAGGTTCTATTTCAGTGGAATGACCTTAAGTCAAGATGTTATTTCACTTCAGTACTGACTCATATGTATTTCTTTTAATGGTAGTGTTTCGTTATGTAACTCTACCTAGAGCTCGTACCCGACATCCCAGTAGCTTTGGAGGCTAGACGCACTGTAAGGTGCTGATTAACGTCCTCCATTGCCGCTATGGCGTTCTTCAGTATACGCCCTTCCTCACTGAACAGAAGCACGGCTGGAATCTTGACATCATCATTGGAACCATCGCCAGCCATGGCAAATATCTGCTGCTTATCACTCGAGCTACCTTCGTTGTTATCTAAACGGAGTAAGACGCCAGTGCTTAGTTCAATCGTAAGATATGATACGATAACTTTATTTATACACGGTAGAATTTGACCACTGCCAATACCAAGGCTCGAATGCTTTCTGCCAGAGCGCTGAAGAGAAAATTGCGCCAACAATATTATTCCTATCTATACCCCGTTATACCCCTTATATTTTCGCTGGTGTGTGACGATCCGAGGATTTGAGTCGCGCTCAAAAGAAACGCGCTTCTTTTCCAATTTTACTGCAAAATTATAGACAGTGCAAGCAAATTGATAACACTGTACCCCGGCTCGACGGGAAAATTAACCTGCGATCATGCGTTCTTTTTTCACAGCCAAAAAAACCCCGCCTGACCACACGTTACGCCAAAATCGAACACCTCCAAAGTTACCGAACTCAGTAAACAATTTGTTATTCAATTTCGGCAGTATATTTCCTTTCAAAGCAGCCAGTCTTTCATTATCATTTCACGATGACGAAAGAAAAACAACAGCAACAACAACAACAGCAACACAAAGGGATGGATGCTTAAAAGCTAAGGCATAATTTTAATACTGAAACGTGATCGAGGGTCACCGAGTTTAGATATATTGCATGTACGCCATATAAGACGCGAATCTTTCTCACAACAAAATAGGAGGTCTTTACAGATCTTACCGATGATGATCACACCAACCGCGCCTGCAGCCTCAGCCTGCCGGGCCTGTAAACAAACATAACAAATCACGATTAATGATACAGTGAATCAACTTAAATTCCTTCATTGCAGCGCTTCTCTCCGGTTTCCTAAGCTTGAGATGACAGGAGCAAAACCTGCTAGTCCCATGAACAGCATGCTAGCTCACTGGAGCTTACACACGCAAAACCTTTAAACAGTAACACAAACACTTCAGGCCCCGTTCACATAACGTCGAAGGAATTTGAAAACGCCACTTTATTTCAAAGGTTAGGCCTACCGTCCACACTAACCGCCACGAAAACTGAGCTTTTCGAAAACGCGCTTCAAACCGGAGGAATTTGAAAACGCCGGGTTTTCGTTTTCGTGTGGACAGAACACATTTTAGAAACGGAGCTTTTTAAAAACGCGATAATCATGTGCTTTTCCCCAACACAACTCAAAAATGACCGGTGATTGATACGTTTTTAAATTCCTCCGGCGCAATGTGGACGAGGCCTTACTCTAAGACCACATTTGGGTTGGTCGGCGTCCAATGAACTTGGTTACACGGAAGTTTTTTCTATGTTCATGCGCTAGTGCCAGTACTTTGCTCCTGTTCATACACGGTGCGCATAGAGAGGAGTGTGCAGAGACGCACTGTGAGTGGAGTGAGTAACGCATCTCCCAATGTTCAAGGTAACACGTTAACCCACTGTGTATCACTAACTACTCAGTGTTTTTTCTCCGTACCTTGTCGATGAACATACACTCGCCCCTTTCTATCACAGCAATTCTGTGCTTCAGCTCCTCTGCATTAACGAGAGAGGAACATGCCTTAATAGGCTCAGCGATGGAAACCTCTGCACCCATCTGAAAAGAAAACAGTAAACTTGCTTACTTAGAATTTGCTTATTGTCAATATAACTGGTTGTGTGTGGTTCTTCCACAAAGACTTTTAAACGAAGTTTCTAAGGCAAGTTTTAGAGTAATATCTTTCAGAGAACTGAAATATCTTTACCAGTTGTGTTTTTGTCGTGAATAACAAGAAGTAAGTTATCTAAGATTGCCAAAAACCTGTCTAGCACGGAATGAGCTAACACATGTCAAGAACAATTGAGAGAGAGAATGCAGCATGAACCTGAAGGAAGGTGCGGCCGATCTGTCTTACTCACCCCAACATCTCCTTTGCTCAGATCTAAGCCAAACTGTGCTGGACAGGCATTGAGAACTACATTTCCCTTATAAGGCGCAGACATAAGCTGGACCACACGAGGGTTTTCTTGAACAACTAAACAAAAATGAACGTCATTCTTACATTAGTATCTTCACTGACCTGACTTCGCTAACCTTTACGGCAGAAAAGAGTACATTCTAAACAGGAATTGTTGAACTTTAAGTAAACACTTAGGTTTAGCATAATATGAAGGAAGGGCAAAAGTACACCTAGATCAAAGGAAACCCCACGAAATTTATTTAAAAACAGCTCTCAGCAAAAATAAGAGGACCAAAGAAAGATGGATGTACGCGAGACTAGTTGAATAGTTGAACGGACGTAAGAAAATTATCTACCTGATTCATCATTGCGCTGTTTTGCCAGTTCAATCATCTCTTGCATGAACTTGATGCCATCTTCTGCATCAGCTTGACTCTCAGCCTGGCCACAGATTGAAGAAAAACAAAACATGTTCAGTACAAAAGAGTTTTAAAAAAGCTCTGCATAAAGCTTTAAGGGAGGTTAAAGTAGTTTTGGCAACACACTGGAGGCAGCGTGGCCAAATGGTTAGGGTGCTGGACTTTGAATCCGGAAGTCACGGGTTCAAGGCCCACTCTGACCACTAAACTACGATGGAGTTGTTTCTCGGTAGACCCTAGTTCGACTCCTCGGTGACACTGGTAAATAGCCAACTAGTCTGCCTCTCGCCAGTTGGGTTTGGGATGTTATGTTCATTTGCATTATTTGTTTCATCGTTTGGTTTCATTGGCCCTGTAAAGCCACACTTGGAGAGTGGTCAATTAAGATTTTTCTTTTAAACACATGTTTTCCTTATTCTTACTTGTCTACTCGGACAATAGCATGTAATTAAGTCAATTAAATCATCAAATTTCTACTAAAAATAAAAAAAATAATAAAAAAGATTATCAGCTCCCCAGTATGAAAAGTGTTTACTGTTTGATGTGCGGTTTTTTAAGTGTGATGGTCAGTTTAGATGGTCTGTTAAGTGTTAGACTGCATAACACAAGTTTACTTTAAAGGTGATAATATTGTAAGTGAACTGTACACTAATTAAGTTGTTCCAAAACATCTTAGAGCTTAATTAGGTTGATTAAAATCATTAACCTCACCAGGAAAATGGAAAAAGTGCCATCCTCGCTTTCATTGATAGCATTACTGATGGCCTAATATACATTATAGACTGAACCTTCCATCATGTTTGACTGGAAGATGTTTTAGAAGATTGGAAGACATGAACCTGTCCAACAGACAGACTGACAGACAGACGTACTAATGCACAGACAGACAGACAGACAGACAGACAGACAGACAGACAGATAGATGGAAGGAAGAACTAACTGGTCAACAGTAGACAGCTTGTGCAGTTAATCTCACCGATGCAGCAGATTGCATGAGCTGTATTCTTCCATCTTTCGTTTGAACCACAGTGATGCCCATGGACTTAAGGATTTTAACATGTTCTTGATTTCCAGGTACAAACTGTTCAGCTCTTAAACGTGGGGGCCTAAAGAAAAGCAATTACACAGAAGATGGACAGAATAAAGGTCTTAACAAAGTCAAGAAAGAGGTACATTTTGTATTTGTGTTGCTCTGGTAGCTTTTCTACAGGTTTTTTTTCACAATGTTCTGTTTACAAACATCACACCTGTCGATCATTCTAAATTTGATTTCAATCCAGATCATTGCAAACACATGTAAAGGTATGGCCATTCTGTAAATAGGTTACTTGAATTATGCATTTCATCTTTTGTACTGTCAAGCAACAACTGTAAAATCTACAAAATGAACTACATCATTCAAATAAATTAATTCATGACTCACACTTTACCATCCTCTCCTCTTGGAAACCAATAAAACTAGTATGATTGAGTCATATAATAAGTCAAAATGAATATAACAACATTAGTAGTTCAATTACTTACTTGTTGGAGCTGAAAGCAAAGGCTTGCTTTTTGTTAGGACAGCTCTCCTGTGTTTGTGTTCTACTTTTACGTCGCACCTCTTTAGCAAACTCTGCAGTTGACGCTTGATCGTGTTGTGTTATGGGGCATGTATACTCATGCTCATTGTCTGCACTTAAAGTCAAATTATATTTGAGTTCCTGTGGACAAAACACAGAAAGTTTTGGGTAACTAATAAATAGCAACTTTAACCTGAACACAGTAAAAACTATTGTGGTCTAAAACACAGACAATGACAATTGAAGGCTTGCGTGCAACATGCAGCATTTTGGGCCGATTTTTATTTTTTGTAGGATCGAGCCAATTTTTGGCAGACTGACTTGTTTTGACATGAAAAGCATCATTGCGCTATTGTTTTTGTTGATTTGCGCTTCGTTTTCGAGAAATAACGTATGCAAAAAAACTCAGTTTTCTGAGCAGCATCTTTTGGAGCGAATCCTTCCAAGGTGGATGTTGATGCAGTGCAAACTTAAATGGTTACTTTTAGCAGCTTCGACAGCACGGTTTTTTTAAATAGATGTTTTGATTTTTGAAAGAAGTAGAGAAATAGACCGGAAAAAAAAAATTGACCGACCTC